CGAGGCGAGACATTCACCTTTCATGCAGGAAACTTGTGAGTTTCACAACATGACTATATACTTATACTTGTGCGACTCGGTGGTCTCAAGACTGTTGCAGCAAACCGCCAAGGCGCTTGTGGTTCTTCTTCGCTCGCGCCGCTCTTCCTCAATGGCACGTAGAATGCCGACCATTGCGCAAATACAGTCTTATGTTTCCTGGCCCATTCACCCTTGGAAGAACAAAACATATCCACGACCTGCACAACGCCCCACGTTGCGCAAAAACATGCAAAAACCTTAGCAATGTTTATTACAAAAAACAGATTTGTCTCCGCCGTCTGCCTTGTAGAGGGCCTTAGCTCTTGCCTGTTTCAAACAATTGAATCCCCGTTGAAATTCAGGGCGTGGGGTCGAGACCGTCATTTTGTAGTAAAAGCCACTTTTTGGCTCCACAAAATGATACTATCTACAATATGGGGGGTGTAAAAAAAGTACAACAAACCATGAAATACCTACAAAATGCAGCGCTCGAGGTAACTGTATGTCATTCTGTAGAAACATGAAAAATGCAAAAATCTACAGAATGATGGGCCCTCCCAGGGAATTAAAAAAACGATATCATTTTGTAGAGTCTGTTGTCTCCTTATTCTCTACTAGATGAGTCCGTTTGTCTACAAGGTCGGGCACCCTTTGAAATGGCTGCAAGTAGACAGCACTGCCCTACAATCTCCTGCCAAGACACCCACACATGACATACATTCTATCTTTTTTTGATATCCCTGTTACATTCTGTAACCAAAATCCCTTCCAGAATCAGACACCCATAGGGTGTCAAAACCAGTTCTGCACGTGGTCAGTGTGACCACTACATCCACTACTGACCTGTTCTGACCTTTCTGATTCACAGCAGATGGATCAAGCCCAGCGGGCCCGATCCAGTCTCTTGGGGGATCCCCGTTGAAACTTCCTTTCTAAAATGATGAGCCTGGATTCCACTATAGGGCTTTCATTTTGTAATAAATTATGTTGGCCATTTTTAAAATGATGTTACGGCCTGACAAAATGATTCAGATTGCTTACAGAATGAATTGTTGCACTACCACATTTCCATTCTATAGTAAACTAATGTTATTACAAAATGGTGGGACCCACCCCCTTCTTTCACTACAAAATACTCTGCGCGCCGTAGGCGTCAAACACGCCTGTCTACAAAATGCTAGGCCGCAACCTCATTTTAAAGATGGCCAACATAAATTTATTACAAAATGAAAGCCCTATAGTGGTCTCCAGGCCCATCATTTTAGAAAGGAAACTTCAACGGGGATACAATTGAAACAAACGGTTGCCTGAAAACTGCAGAAGTTCCGGTTGCCCTGCAGTATGATGTGACAGATTGTTTTAGTGGTCATGGATGGTCATGGAGTAGTGAAGGCCTGGCCAGATTTCCAGATGTGGGGCCAAAGTTCCCCCTTCAGGTCTTAGTTCTGCATCGAACTGCTTGCAGGAACAGTAGCTTTGCTTAGAGGTTAACTTTTTGGACTTGGTGTCAGGTTTGCTCTACAGCTTACATTGCCTGGACCCGAATGTATGCTCCTGTCTGTTCAAGCTGGATTTGGCTGACGCATTCTGAGCAGTAGTTCCAGATGGGTTTTCGCCAACTGTATGGCAGCAAGGATCGATATGTAATTTTGCTTTTTAATTCCAATCATCTTGCTAGTTTGCCCCATTAAAAATATAATGGTGTGTCTCAAGTACAACTCCTGGTGGGAAGGCACGTGGGCGCGCGAGCAGCCAGCTTCAAGCCCGATGTTCTACACTCGACATGCTGGAAATGGCCATGTAAATGGTGTAAATATGTTTTTACGCGTACCTTCTTTGGACAAATAAGTTGACAAATTTCTGGTCCAACAAGTTCAGCGCTGCGCAACTTGCTTGCAATCTCACGCCCACAGATTGAAGCCAATAGGATGTGTGCTAGTTTGCCACGTCAGGTTGATGGTCAGGGGCATGTGCCAAAAGAACGGCAAAGAGCAGAAGGAAAAGTCATAAACAGTTTTGGCAAGAGTTGGGCCAGCAAGGAGCAGGCACGTCAGCGACTAGCTCGCTGAAAGAAACACAGCGCCCGAATTGCAGGCAGGAAGGAAACGTGTGTTTAGTCACGTTCGTTTCGCTGATTTCTGAATGGAGTATAGGCTAGGTCCCGCTAGGCTAGGTCTCTGGTGCTTGGCCTTTCTGAATTTCTTGATGCATTATCCCCAACAACTGGGCTGCGTGATCGCGATATTGGTCAGGGAAGTTCAAGGGGTCATTCCGGACCCGCCACGTTCAAGTCTTTTCCCCACGCGCAAAGAGAAAATCAAGAAGGACACCGACAGGGAACGCACTCCTTCTCGATCCTCCACGACAGTCACCAACGAAAGCTCGCAGCATCTCCTGAGACTCCTTCGACACGAGGACAACCGCCTCGGAACAGGAATCTATGATTTTGTGAGCACCATCCTCCCACGGATCCTGGAGAAGACTCAGAAGTGGCACATCCAAAGTGGAAGAACGACCCTGGCCATTGAGGATAATTACTAACTTTATGACCTAATTATATACTTTTGTTTGCTATCTCTATTAAACATCAAAATACTTATTTTGGAAAATGTATAGAAATAGAATACAAAACTAATAGGATCCATAAGTAGAAAATATATAGAGCGAAAGGGAGGAATAGACATAAAAAAGCATCCAAAAGTAGAGCAGAGTTGTTGCAAACTTCAAGAATGGAAAAGACACGCAAGCATATCCCAAAGCAAAACTCTTGAAACTTAAAGCAAGATAGGATCCATCAAAGGGGAGAGAAGGGGTGTAAAGCACAAAAGGAGAAGGAATGGAAAGAATAGAGTTGAGTAGAGGGTATATACATTATAGATTTAAGCAGGAGTCATTGTTTGAGTTTAAGCTTGTGTTTGAATTGTTAATTTAGTAGACTATTAGTAGCTTAGTAGATTAGCATGTACACATAGAGCCTTGATCACAGTCAAAAAACAAATTAACAACACATTAAGAAATATAACTATATTTACACACTGACCTGGCAAAGCTACTCCACTGCTCACATGAAAGAAAGAACTAACTAGTTACGTTAACTAGTTACTAGCAACTAGTAATTAGTACTCTGGTTAATTTGCCAGTCAAGTCATCCAGTTAGAGTCTAAGTCGTCATCACTCACTAAAAGCACTACCACCAACTTGAGGAGAGGGAGACAGGAAAGTTAGTAAAGCAGGAAGAGAGTAGAAGCATGTAAAACATGCATTGGCAGCTGTTCGGAGCAGGAGGCCATGGGGGTAAGATAAGAAAACGCCTTGTAAGCGTACTACGGGTAGGGTAAAAAACCGTGGTTGGTGCAAGTCGTGCATGGGCGGGTGGTTGGTGCAAAACGTGGTGTGGGAGTAACGGTGGTTGGTGTACGACGACCGCGCAGGGCGTCAACAGTGGTATAAAACGTGGTTTGGTGCAAACGGTGGTTGGTGTAAAACATGGTTTCAGAGCTACATCCGATGCGCAACAGCAGCATGTCCAGAATCGAGCTGTCGCAGTGCAGGAGCCGCGCGAACCCAGATCTGAGCCGCCATTGATCCGAGCTTTTGTGGACTCGAGCTTTTGTTGACTCACGGTCCACGTTGCCGACGTGCTCGCAAACCAAATGACCCGCATCGGGGTGATCCACTTCGGGACGAAGCGGTTGGGGTCTGTATTGAAAAATCAATTCCACGGGGGGGGTCTGTATTGAACAAAAACAATTCAAAAGGGGGGGTTGAATTGAACTATCAATTAATCAATTATTAGACGCGGAGGAGCCCACACTTGCTTCGCAAGACAAACTCAAGGTATTCGCTTGGGGGCTACCTTTCGTGATAATCCAAAGAACGCACACTATTCTGTTTGATGCCGTTCAATTGTTCAGCACGTTCAGCATGTAGTATCTGTGCACATGACGCATGGCTTCTCAGCAAAGGCGCCGGTTGCCGTACTCCTCTGCAACACCATCGAGATTCACTGTGACAGTGTTGCTCGCAATGTTAGGCCGCAGCGCATTTGTGACCTTGGGTAATGAAGCTCCAATGCTACCCAGCAGCTGGGGTGCTGGTTGCACTGACCCAGCGACGTCAAGTAGGGACAAGGCTATAACCCATGAACAGGAAAAGCTTCAAACAAGCAAATGACTCGTCGCTTTGATATGATTTGTGTGTCAAAGATTGAATACAAGAAGGGATAAGAAGGGCTACGGCTACGCACGGGTTCTTTGTTCTTCTTGGGGCTTTCTAGAGTCTAGAGGCCGACATGTGTAGATGTATCAGGTTATCATGTGGAGGTTGAAGAAAGGTTGCATCCTACAAACTCGTACAATATAACTACCGTACTCCCTTGCTCCTTATGTGAATAGTCCAGAACGAGTGGCGCCATAGTGGAATTCGAAGTTCTGACCTGCCTCTGTCAAACGCGTGAAGCGCGACAGCCCGGTCATGGCCGTTGCCAAAGTGCCGCTTGTCTGTGCGGTCTGTCCTTCATGGTACACCCGTGCAACCACGGTGACAACGAATGTACAAAAAAAAACTGTGTCATTTCAGGCGAGCGTCTCGTCATGTTTGACCGACCAGACCTTGCAGTGTGTGCTGTCTGCCCACTCCCCGTTGTTCGGTGCCTTAGCTTACACAGTACCCTCAACCAAGGTTGATGATAGCCTAAGGGCTTACACAAAAACGGCAAACTGTTGATTGGCTTCTTGACTCTAGTTGTCATTTGCCTTGATCACGCTGAAGATGGCGTGATTTGAAAACAAAGCGGAAAAGGCTTTCTCAAGGACTGAATTTCTGATGCGGGAACTATTCAGATCTTAATTTGTCAACACGAGCAACCACAGAAATGCCCACCCACTAGAATATTATATAGTCGAACTAGCATCACCGCACCATACGTACAGCACCTCTCTTAAGCTCCTCTTAGTGTTTGTGCGCCAGAAGCACCCAGGCTTCATTGAGCTTTGTGCATGGTCGAACGTGTCTTTAGCATATTGAATGCTCTAGAAGATTCTAGAAGCATCCAGGGGCTTGAAGTTCCTTGCTGGGAAAAGCATACGCTACTTTATAGTTGGCTCCATCCATCCCAGTCCCCCCAAGATTCCGAACACAAACGTTTCCAGTGGCCCAAGTAAGTAAGCAAAAAAACGCTCAGGGAAAGGAATCAAATGGGACAAGGGACTTGAACTGCCACAGTCACCACACGTGTCAAGGGTACGGGAGGGAACGAAAAGCACTACGAAAAGCATTTTACAATAAATTCTTGTGTAAGGAGCGAAGCCGCAGCGAAGCCTGTGAAAGTTATGTTGAATACGGGTGCTTCGATAAGACTAAGACCTATAAGATTCATATTGGATCTGAGAGGCTGTGAGGGGACCGTTCGAATCATTCACAGCGTGGCTTCTTGCAAAACAACAATTTTGCTAGATTAGGTTACTGTATATAGTAAGATATGTCTCTGTCTTACTATATTGAATTATTAGGATATAAATGGATATAGTGTAGAACTACATCTTACACACAAAAGGCCGATTCTATGGCAAAGGGTAGGGACGTCCCTTTTAGATGCCGCTGCAGTACGTCTGAGCTGTCCGCGTTGTCAAACGAGATCTTAGGGTGGGGCGTCTCGATGATGCATGGCTGCCTCCGCTCCTCCTGAGCGGTGCTAGCTGCTGTGCTGCTTTGGCTATTGCTATTTAGGCGGCGTTACATGTGTATATACATATATATATATTCATATATGTGATTATGTGTGTGATATGGCTAATCTATGAAACTGATGTAGGATACACTGTGACGCCGAACATCAGAATGCCTGTCTAGTGGAATTGAAGAAAAAATCAAACTGGAACCAGCTGAAGCAAATGGTGGTCTTCCTCACGTTCGGCTCGAGGACGCCTCCTGCGCATCGCAAGCGCTTGAAGGACATGCTTGTACAAAATTACAAAGAATGGTGCAGGATACATCATGCAAATACGCATAAGATAGCATGGAGACGAGCATGCTTCAAGAGAGGGTGGAGCAAACGTGGGGTTGTGGCTGTACTCATGATTAGTGTTGTGCTTTTGGAGCTTTGTGGTGATGGTTGTGATTTCTTGTGGCTTTTGGGAATCCTGTGATACTCTGGGCTGATGCTGGCAATGCACACAGGTTTCTGGTGGTCTGAGTCTCCGCTGGAGCTATGTTTTAAGTCTTGAATTGCGATTAATTTGTTTTTGCCCGCGATTATTGGATATTTAAATAGTAATCTATCTGAGGCTACTGGCCGGAACTGCGGCAATGACAAGTTCTGCAGCTGCGCTGTGACGAATTCTTATCATCGTTTGAGATCTGGGTGATGGATGGATGAACTGCTGGTCTGCGCTGCTCTGTCCACAATCCTTCTATTCCAGGTCACGGTCGGTTCACTATGCTTGGTGAATGGTTGGCCAAGAGTGCTTGGAAAGTTGTCGCTGCCGCTATGCAAGATCCTGAAGGAAGACCGTAGCTTCCAAGCAGTGCATTACCTTTCTTCCCCTCCAGCGCTAAACAAATAGCAGCCGGCAAACACCTTTATGTTTGGAAAAGCTAGCGCTAGAGTGCATTGATTCCAGGAATCATGAGACATTCTTCTGAAGCCATGACATTGTCACCGCTGATGGTCTCCGTGGGAGTTCTGACAAAAGCCATATGATCATGATACCAAATGTCATGGCGTGCCTGCGCCGGTTCGAGTGTTACTTCACAATGCTTATACAGTAACCCAAACCACGACGTGCAAGAACGACCGAGGTGCCTGCAGCAGATGCACTGCCTGCGCGTCCTCGTTCAGGTGTTGCTTCTACTTCATTTGCGCCGCGCAAAGGTGTCGGATCTACCACGTCCACATTGTCTGCCTTCCAATCAGGTGTTTTTGTTGTCTCTGACCTTGAGACCTCTTTTTTCCGACCTGAATATATATATATATATAATAGTATATATAATATACTTCAGACTAAGACTGAGCTAAGACACCCACAAAGATTGTGTGATCATCTGTCAGAAAATCAGCTCAGACTGTCACTCAGTCACTCAACTAAACCATGACGGGGCGAGGAGAGCAACGGCTATAAACATTATCGAGCATCGGATTGTCTCGGACTGCCGCTTTCCACTGCTCCGGGCAGGTCAAAGGAGCGCGCAGCACTCTCTGACTCTGGTGACTGGACTCGCTGAAATTCATCCGCTGCCGGGACAATGGCAGTGGCGCCTAACGCTGGAAGGTTCAGTTGTCCAGGATAACTATTTCAGATCAAGGTGACCCCGTGATTCTCCCTTTACTAGCAGCTTGTTGCTACTAGTAGCGATGAATGTGTTCCTAGTAGCGATGCCCTTAGCTTACTAGTAGCTTCTTGCTACTAGTAGAAATGCACTTGTCCCTAGTAGCGATGCCCTTAGCTATCAGTAGCCTCTTGCTGCTAGTGGTAATGCCCTTGTATAGATATAGGTGAGATGGTGATTTTGCTTTGGAATCTCTAAGATTAAGATGCTTTAAAAAGGCACCTTGGAAATTAATTTGGAGCCTTGCCTGAGAATGGTTGAACTGCATCATCAGTCCCGTCGACAGTTCTTGCAGCAGCACCCCCAAGAAACTCTCTAAATGACTCGAGGACTGCCGGCTGGATGGCCTGGAGGAGGCCACAGCGGAAAACAAAAGGCCAAGCTCATGGATCTCATGGGAAAATATTGCATCTGGCGTGTCAATGTCTGGGTTCATTGTGTTCCTGTGGTTTATCTTCCTTTCCAGCGCAGTCGCTGCCCTGGACCCTGGGCATCTAAAGAGAATTGAAAGGACATGTCCTCAAAAAAGACAAGGAAAACAATACAGGCCGCTTAAGCTGACATGCTGACAAGCCACGAGCGCAAGCACTTGCAGAACGAGACAAGCAACGTGATAGATGGCACAGCCCTTCCAACTAGCTGCATCATACAATACACCTCCCAAGGTTGCCTCGGATGAAAGATATGGAGTCAACCGAATGCGCATTGGTTCATGAATGTCTTGTTGTTCCTCATGTTTGCCCTTTGTTGATCCTGTTCCCGTGTTTTGCCACACACACAAACACGAATGTATACATAGACATATCTATCTATCTATCTATCTATCTATGCTCTCAAGGCAACTGACACCGTTCCTCCTTGTTTCTATAATGCACAGCTCACAAGATTTGCTCAGAGACATGTCCCTTGTGTTCGGCGCCTGTTTTTCCTGCTCTGGCCTTTGGTTTCTGCTTCAATCAGCCGCCTGCATGATCACGCCTTCCTCAACCAGTCTCCCTTCAATCTGAACATCTGAAAACGAGGCGGGTCTTCGTCTTCCACGACGTTGTTGTGATGTTGTACACCCGTCCGAAGTCTCTCCAGTGGGGCTGTTCATTGGGACGAAGTTGTCCAAGAAATGCAAAGAAATCAGGGTCACTGGATGAACAAAGTCCTAGATTCTTCACACAATCACAGGTCATTCATTCAACAGTTGCTATCTCACGGTTGGGGTCGCCTGGGCTGGCTGACGCAAGTGGTCTGTTGAATGACTTGCTGGGCAATGAGGAGGCATCTTGGAAAGGGTTTGCATGTTGGCTCTAAACCTCCTTGAATTAATATATACATAAATGTGCATGCTGTTCTTGCAAAGTTCCTGGTGTTCTTCATGCTGCTTGTTCTGGCGACCAGCCCAAGACACAACAAAGCAAGCTAAATTCACTAACGACAGTGCTGAACAAGGTGCAGCGATAGCGTATGACAGCCTTATGCACAAAGTCACTGAGAGGGAGGAAATGTATGCGTGTCTGAATGAGCAAGTCACTTCTGTCGAAATTTCATTGACCAGCAACGTAAATACAGAAAGAACTGTTGACTGCGCTTGGGCGACCATCACCTCCGAGTCTGACCACACTTCAAAGGTGACGCCTTCCTGAGGAACAGGCGTGAGAGGGGCCGTTTACGGTTTCACCCCATGGCAGGCGGCCATCATCAGTATCACCGGGTGATCTCGAGCACTTAACAAATCGGGAAGGTCATTAGAAGCATTATATAGATATTCTCTTGGATTTTTGCAATGATCTTCTGGTGGCAAGTTGATAGTGATAGAGTTGGAAGCGGATATGATGAATGCCTAAATAGCACCCGAAAAGCGAGTCTGGGATGAGTTTGGACTAACAAACCAACCTCCTATATTGTCCCAACAGGACCGGTGGCACTAGCTTCAGTGCTCTCAAGGGTTCATTGCGAATCCGTTTGCGTCCTGTGACATTCTTGATCATTTTTGTCAAGCATCAATTGCTACAGTCACGTCAAATGCAATCATGGCAGCTATTTCGCCAAACACTGCCCAAGCCTGCGGTCACTCAAGCAGGCCACAGATTCAGAACTTCTTCGAAAGGTTGGCAGAGCAAAGCCGGTTGCACATGGGTTATATACCTGTGTTTGTTGGAAACCGGGCACATGTTACACCTGTGAACCTTGTCAAAAGCTGCTTGAGAGAATGAAACAGGGCCGGAGTCCTGTCCCAAAGGCTGGGCAGTGAAATTATGCAAATTGGGGAGCAATCAGGCTAAAGGTCTGCCAAATCGCGTTTCATTGACGACTTGCACACGTTGTTCACAGTCTAATTGTGCCACCTGTCCCACTGTCCTATGCGCCCCAAATCCGATTTCGAGCTTCACCTGTTACTTCTGCCATTCCTCTCTTTGCCAGAATCGTCTACCCAAAGCATCATCTTCGCTGGGCTCTAGGCCCTGCTTTCTTCCATCGTCCAGTTTCCCGACATATTGCAGACTGCGAGTTTCCCTGCTATCCCCACAGGCATCCAACTTCGTGCATGGCTACAGCTTGTCTATGTCAACATCTATGTTGTGTCATGCATTTGTCCTCCAATCATCCAAAACAACTGCCGATTCACAACCTTGTCCAACCCGCCACTGATGCCTGGTCAAGGAAAATGAGCCCCAACGTGGCAAAAGCCAGGTGCAGCAAAGTCAAGAGCACAGACGACCAAAGGCCCAGGCGCAACAAAGCCTTTGTTCATTGCTCATCAGTTCACTTTCACAATTCAGGTGCTTCTGAGCACCAATAGCTGCATACAATATAATATAATATCTATAATATATATATATACATAACTATACAGCAATAAATATATGTGGAGGACATGGCCAGAGATTGATCTGAAGTTAGACTGACCTACTTACTTGCTCTGCACATTGCTTCATAAGCCTGAGTCTGACGAGTCGTCAGACCCTCGTTCCGTGGCGTCTGTTTCAGCAAGTTCCACATGACACCTCCTGTGTTTCTTGTGTCAAGCAATATAATATATACTCTAAGCGTGATCCTAGGCGCTATACGTCACTAACTAGTCGCCCTAGTCTCGGCGTGGCACAAAAATAGCGCCTTGACATGCCTTGACTATTTCCAAGACACCTGCTGCGTGACCAGGCGGCCCAAGCCCCCCGCACTGACCAGCACTCCAGCAATCTGCAGGTCCCAGCCCTGACTCCGAACATACAAGGTGAATCCTGGCACTCCACGCCACGTTGGAAGAGAATGGAGCACATTGACAAAAAGTTTGCTCGAACCACTAATGTGTGAAGGTCACCATCGTTAACCGTTAACTAACTTTCCCAGCCTTAGACAACCCCTGGCAGTCTTGGTCGGAAACTTCGAAAACACTCAAGTCGCAGTCGCCAGCATGCAACTAGCCAACAAAGATGGAGCAGCCGGCCAAAAGGCTGGCAAGGAAACAGATTGCACGACTCTAAACAACCTGGGCTTCGCTGCGCCCTCTGCGGCCCTTAACTATCTGTAACTTGAGAACTTAAGGTGAGCCCCTCATCTTGCCACTGCACTAGTCCCGTTTGGCAATGAAGCCAGCACAGTACTGAAAAGATCCGAACGACGGCTTCATCGCCTGTGCACATCCCACTTTTTCTTCACACTTTCTGGAACATTTGCTACTCCCTCTCGCCACGAGAAAATAGAAGCCTGTCCTGCCCAAGCAAACGAGGAAAGACCTCCACATAGAGCTGGAAGCAACATGCAAACAAGAACGTAGTTGGCGGACCATGGAATGGTTTCGAAGTCCTCCTCTTGGAAGCTAAAGGAGTCCGGGTCGGGTTGCTGATCAGTATCGGCCGACATGGCTAGGAGCCCAAGCAATGTGCAGCCGTTTGCTTGCGCTTTGCAATTCCCACGCGTCCCACGAACAACCTATCAACAAAACACACGAAAAAAGAACACCGCAAAATGGACAAGTATCAATCGGATGTAAAGTTGTGCCTTGGAGCCTTCATTTCCTGTTTTCAAGCTGCTGTTGTATGGAAACATCGCTGTTGGAATCCATACGCGCTCGTCATGCGACTCGTTCCTTTTGTCACGAGCCCTGTAAACTGCCTCGGGCAAGCAAGCACCAAACCCGATGGATGCAGCCTTGCCCTGAGTGTGAGTTTGCCATTGACAAAGGCCAGTAACAAAAGGTTTCGCGTGCATGCACTATGATGAAGCCGCATGGAATTTGTTTCAAAATTCTCCGAAAACTAGAGGAGTCCGGGTGTTGCGAATTCGGCCCTTGTTGCTCTTCCCGTGCATAGGTGGCTTGCTGGCCATGAAAAGCAACCGCCATGGCCATGGAGGTCAAATCAACGCCGAACTTCTACGGGAGATTGTGCATCTGTGGAAACCACACAAATCTGAGAAAAAATTCCACCAAGCAAGTGAAGTGCCTCAAACAATTATTATTCAATTCGCTTCGTCTTCCCTGATTAGATCCACCAAAACAACTGGCTGATAAAGTGGGCTCAAAAGCTGAGCTCAGGACTGTGCCACCACCTGATCTCCAAAGAGTGCAATGGGCAACAGGCCCTGACAGAACCCCCCTTTAAGGGCTTGGAGCCCTGGAGTTTCCAGTTAAGGTAATTAAGGTGAAGTGAGGTGCAGTTCTGCGAGGTGATGAATAGTTATGATGTATTCTGTCGTCGACAGGTGCACACATGGTTCCATGACGGAGGCATCATCCAAATGATACTAAACTAAACCTGCGAAGGGGGGGGACGGAAGCCAGCAGCTGCCAGACGAGTGTATCTTTTTCTGGCGGGCGTCGCGGCACAAGACACATGGTCGGCAGCTTGCGAGTCAGCGGTGCTGCGGATGCGGGGGGGCGTATGTAATGGTGATTGAGGGAGCAGAGAAGCAAGCCGGGCGGCTTTGGGATAAGATCCCCCACTGGTTATGGGGGGGGGAGGGGGGGATCAATTTCTTTTAGATGGTTTACACCCTCTAAAAGTTAACTTTTCTGCACGCCGATGTCCCCGATCGAGAGCCGCCAACTAAGAAACAAAACATGTCAGTCAACGTCGGACAATGGAACGAAACTAAATCAATAATATCTACTACAGTCACAACCATCACATGGATTGGCCTGGATTGACCTTCAGAAACATAGAAACATCATCCCATCAGATTCACTTCAGGCTATCCAAAGTATATACCAGCCCACGCGTGTTTGTCAGGATTGACTGCTCTGCGGCTCTCTGCTCTTTTTTGCAGTGCCACTACCCCTCGCAGGCAGCGTGTGTGCCGCCATCACATTGATTGGTCTGGCGAAGGAAGGGTGCGGACCCCACGCAAGGGGAGTTCCTGTGGAGATCCTGTGGAGTTTGTAATCCTGTGGTGTGCTGTGGGGTTGTTTGTGCTTTTTTGTGGAAGCCGTAGTAAGTGGTTGTGATTCCTGTGGTCGTGCCTTCCTCCAATAAAATAGGGCGCGAACGGAAGGGTGCGGAACCTGCACAAAGGAAAAGCGCGGAACCCGCGCAAGGGAAGAGCGCGGAACCCGCGCAAGGGATGGGCGCGGAACCCGCGCAAAGGAAAAGCGCGGAACCCGCGCAAGGGAAGAGCGCCGCGCAAGGGATGGGCGCGGAACCCACACAAAGGAAAAGCGCGGAACCTGCGCAAGGGAAGAGCGCGGAACCCGCGCAAGGGATGGGTGCGGAACGCGGAAAAAGGAAAAGCGCGGAACCCGCGCAAGGGATGGGCACGGCAAGGGAAAAAAGGAAGGAAGGACGGAAGGGGCGGAACCTGCGCAAGGGAATTGCGCGGAACCCGCGCAAGGGAAGGCGCGGAAAGGGCAGGAAGGAACGAAGGAGGGAAGGAGGCAAGAATTAGATTCTACTATGAAGTGTACACCAACATGGAAAAAATTATGCCGAGGCGGGCTGAAAAATCTCAAGGCGGCAGGGCTTGGCTTGAGAAAAAACAGCTTGCCTTGACTAAATCCTCTGGATTTAGTCGAGGCGGGCTGAAAAATCTCGAAGCGGCAGGGCTTGACTTGAGAAAAACAGCTTGCCTTGACTAAGTCCTCCAGATTTAGTCGAGGCGGGCGGAAAAATCTTATTGTCACGGGGCTTTACTAAAGAATCTAATTGTCAGGGGGCTTCAATCTAATTAATTGTCGGGAGGTTTTGCTAAAGAATCTAATCCCCTAAACCCTCATCATGATGACCGAAAAGTCACGGTGCTGGAGTGCGATGTGGCATAATGAATGCACGGATTCATATCGAATATCTGCGTTTGGAAACGCATACCTACATCTTCCTTTGTATGTATTTTGGTTGTTTCCAACAAAGCATAGTTGCTGGGGCAGGCGGCGCGAATTTCTGTAGCGCAGCACTTTTTGGATTTGGGATAGAATGATGGAAACTTTGACACATCACTCACCCAAAAGAAACACAAGAAACGAAACTGCGCAAAATGGCACCAAAACGCCGCAAAACTGCAATTTGTTGCGCATGTTTTTTGTTGCGCTACTGAAAGTCGAAAGTGGCAGGCAAACCCATGAATCGGCAGTTTTTCCAGAAAACGACTAAAACTACATCAAGCGACAGAAATTAGTTGAGCTTCACAAAACGACAACAATTTTACCAAAAAGCTCTTTCCCGTACTACATGTGTACTACAAACTGGCCCTTCTGAGTCCAGCTCCGAACAGCTCTTTCCCGTACTACATTTGTACTACAAACTGGCCACTTCTGAGTCCAGCTCCGAAAAGCTCTTTCCCGTACTACATTTGCACTACAAATAACTGGCCACTTCTGAGTCCAGCTCCGGCAAGCCCTTTCCCGCACTACATTTGCACTACAAACTGGCCAGGTCTGAGTCCAGCTCCACAACTGAAGCGCCAAGTCTCCAAAATGAGCGTTTCGTACGAGACTTCCTCCAAAAGTGAAGCGCCAAGTCTCCAAAACGAGCGTTTCGCACGAGATTTCCAAAATCGCCAAGTCTCCAAAACGAGCGTTTCGTACGAGAGTCTCCAAAACGAACGTTTCGTACGAGACTTCCTCCAAAAGTGAAGCGCCAAGTCTCCAAAAAATTCGAGACTTGTCTCGAAAACGAGCGTTTCGCACGAGACTTCCTCCAAAAGTGAAGCGCCAAGTCTCCAAAACGAGCTTTTCGTACGAGACTTCCTCCAAGAGTGAAGCGCCAAGTCTCCAAAACGAGCGTTTCGTACGAGACTTCCTCCAAAAGTGAAGCGCGACCGCGCATCCGACACGCACGATGTCCGCAAAGGGTTGCACACGCCCCGGCAGTTTCGCAGTTTCGCCTAGGTTTCGTGCGTCCGACACGCACGATCTCCGCAGAGGGTTGCGCACGCCGGCGCAATCGCAGTTTCGCCTAGGTTTCGCGCATCCGACACGCACGATCTCCGCAGAGGGTTCCACACGACACTCCGCGGCATCGCAGTTTCGCCTAGGTTTCGCACATCCGACATGCACGATCTCCGCAGAGGGTTCCACACACCCCGGCACAATCGCAGTTTCGCCTAGGTTTCGCACATCCGACACGCACGATCTCCGCAGACCCTGAGCATCCGATCTTGAAAAAAACCGATCCCGATTGGTTTTTCAAAAAAATCGATCCCGATTGGTTTCACCTCAAAAACCGATCCTGGGATTGGTTTTTGGGGATTGGTTTTTTTCGATCCTGGGGATTGGTTTTTCAAGGTTTGGGGATAGCTTTTGGGGATTGGTAAAAAACCGGTCCCCAGGATTGGTAAAAACCGATCCTGGGGATTGGTTTTTGGGGATAGGATTGGACATGACATGCACCTCACAGCAATCTTGAGGCTCAATTGTACACATACAATTTTCCTTATCTTTTTTCCATATCCCTGGGGCTTGGAAGAGAGCCATGTCAGGAAGGGGTGGCCAGAACAGATCACCCATCCTTCCTGTAGACCAGGCAGCCTTGAATGCTGCTTTCAGGAGAGCAGTTGCTATGTGGGGACAGGATGCCTTTGATTTAGGCATCTACAAAAAGATAGGTAGAAAGCAAGCAGCCTCAGCCCAAGGGATTGTGGAAAATGCCTGGTGGCTGAAAGCTTTGATCCCCCTGAGCAGCGGTGAAATCCTTCCAGGGCAGCTGAAGGAGGCACTGCTGATTTATAATGCATCCCACAATACATCGCGCTACAAAGCACACATCTGGGCAGGATCAACTGCAACCCACTTCACCACCATGCTGAATCATTGGAGGAGGTTGAGGACCAATGAGAACAAAAAGAGGCAAGCTGCAATGAAAACTAGTCGACAAGTTGCCAGCCAGTTGGAAGAGTTGCTAATCTTGGAGCCAGGCTTGCAACAGAGCCAACCCTCCAATCATGATCCTGCCCAAGAGGCTTGCAAGAAAGCCACTGTTGCCTCCAAGGATGAAGCTGCCCAAAAGCAAGAGGCTTGTAAAACAGCCACCAGTGACTCTGATGAAGAAGATGATGGTTCTGAGGTCGAAGAAGTGTCTTTGGATGAGCATGGCTTTCACAAGATGCTGCAAACTCCAGAAATGAAGCGATACATGGGGCCTAGCCCAGCAAAGGCTGCTACCAAAGCAAGCTTGCCATTGAAAAAGAGCAAGCCCACAAGCCACATGAAGGAATTGGAGGCAGCTGCCCAAGCTTTGGCAGAAGAAACACCTGCCAAAGCCACAAAGAAGCCTGCGCAGAAAGTGACGCAGAAGCCAGCTGCCTCTGCGCAGGTCAAGGTCCAGAAGAAGCCTGCAGCAGCTGCATCTGCAAAGAGGAGGCTTGCAACAGAGCCAGGTCTTTGTTCTTGGAGCAAAGTCAGGAAGGTGATTGCTTCAAAGCAATCATACCTG